ATTGAGAATAATTGAGTTTTGAAATATAATTGAAATATATCAAAACTCAAAGCATAATGGTCTTCACAGAAATACAAACATGGGTACGTAGGAACAAATGCCTACTCGACGGTGAAGCTGAAGTCATTTTTCCTATAATTCTATAAATATTCGGGTGTTTTCATTGTAGTACTTAGCAATGAATCATCGTAAAATAACTATAGAACTATTCTTTATTTAGAAAATTAGACAAATTCGTAAGGTACTGTTTCGGTTTATCAGAGTTATCACATGATGATTACTACCGTTCTGGAGAGAAATTTGATGAATATTACTGCAATCAAAATTGATAAAAATTTAGCTCACATCAACTTTATGAAATCGAGTTTCATCGTAGAAGAAAATACTATTCAGACTGATTCCTACAATTTCGATAATGAAACTATAATCATTTGAACTAATTGTACGATTTGAAATGAAGTCAAATTGAAAAAAAAATTCCGAAGTTTTCAGCATGAGTAAACTTCATTTACCCTTCGACAATAGTTGAGTTTGAACTCTACGTGAATATACATTTTGTATTCGCATCTGACACATTGCAATTCGTTGGATGCTATAACTTGTATCTAGCATCAATAAGTACCACATGCTCCTTTCAAAATATGTAGGAAAAAGCACTTCTCGTAGATCTATTATACGGTATATAGCCACAGTTCGCTAACAATAACATTGTTTACGATGTCGTTAACTGACCGCTAAATGTTGCGTATGCTGATCACAAAGCACCATATACCCGCTCACCATTGATCCACAATATTACATTTCACAAATTGGATCCTCAACGTAAGTACCATTCATACCCTGTATAACAGCTGGGGTAATCACTTTGTTCACTTATAGCCAGCGTCTGGAACGGTTTCTCAATATCATCAGATTTTTATTATAAATATAAAAGCGATCCACGTTCATTTATTTTTATATTCGAGTGTTTATAGTGCTTAGCTTTTGGAACCGTTTTCACTGTTATCACCACTGAAGACTTGAATTGAATTTCGAAACTTGTTTAAGATCGTAATTTTATCTTTCGACACCTGATAACATTAGTTAGAAACCGTCTCTTGTCAAAAGATGAGACAGATGGCCTGACTACTAATAATTGAATTCAATTCAGTAACTGAATTTTATATTTCGAAGGAAGAACCAGTAGCAACTTTCGACTGAACAAGTTATGTGTTATGATTTATGGTTATGTGATAAGTTTTTCAATTAATGGGTGTCGTTGAACAATAATCGAACTGAAAGGTCATATATCTCCATCAAATTATCTAAGAAAATATTGAAGAAGTGACAACATTATCAATTGGACACCATGAAACTGATGTTGAATTGTTTTTATTGTATTGTTTACAAACGTAAGTGGATAGCACATGAATGATCAGAAAGAAGTGTGAATTGGTATTTTGATTTGAATAAAAGACTGGAGAAAAGTTATAAATCTGATGTTTTCAAAACTGGCAAAGTTGTTTCAATTCTATAATTGTTAACATTCTTAATCCTCAGAAGTACGTAAACGACCATTCTATGGTTGTCACTTTTCTAAAAATCAAGGGTAACGCAAAACAGAAAAGAGATAATTGGTTATCACACTTCCTTGGGATTGATAAGTTCCACACACCGGATGACAATTTTGAAACTTTGAATAAACACATTCTTTGATCATAGAGACAACTTATCTCGATAGAGTTTACTTTTGAATTTAGAAAATTATTTGAATTACAATGTGCTTGAAATACAACCCTATAAATTTCAAATGGCCCCTAAAAATACTTCAAAATGAGGTAGGGTAAGGTAAAAAGTAAAGTCGAATGACCAGTGATTATTCTATGAGCTTCATTCACCAACAAACTGTGTAAGTGTAATTAAACATTTTCTAGCCAAGAAAGAATATTGCACTTTCACTTGCCGAACAATTTGCACCCCACTCCATAGTTGGTTTGCAGAAAAAATACCCACTATTTCCATAATGCCGAGAATTTCTTTTCGACAGTTTCTAATTGAATGAACTTTGCAACAGATCAACATCAACAAAGCTTCTGGCCTTGATGATGTACCTATCACTGTATCTGAAAAATTCGACAATATACTGGCGAAAGTGCTTTGTGAGCTCTACAATGGAAGGTTTTCCCTTTTGTTGGAAGACTGCTAAGCCAAAAAGGATAAGACAATTTTCCCAGATAACTAGAGATGAGGTCATTTATGAGTGATAGGAATTCAATACAGCACACAGCACACTTGTCCCTTCTTTTGATAGTAATCTGGAGGCAGTTCGGCTTCGATGCTACGAAAACTTCAGACTTCTGTTTTTTCACTGCGAAAGTGTGTTACATAACCCGACTCAGTGATGTCAATTTGAGTTGCGAGTTGACTATCAATATTTCTTGGGATAATCAATTTGCTAACATAGCTTTTCAGTAACTTGGAAAACACCATTTCGTGCTGGACGGTTGGTGACAGTTTGAAAGAGGTCAGATTCGATCTTCTTTAGACTATTGCTCACCCCTATATCCTGGGGGTGCTAGATTCTAGTCAGAAAAGAGCCAAACCACGTTATGGGAGAGCGAAAGATGATGAGCAACCAGAGCGAAAGATAATGAGCAACCTTTATGTTTTGGAACATCTAATATCGAAAGCTGTATGTCAGAAGTATGCTTCAAACTATAGCTGCAGATCACGTCGAGGTTCAGTCAATACACTTCGAACTATACTTTTCGAGAACTTTTTCATTTGGAGAACGGGATTCTCAGAAAATAAACTTTTCGAAACGAATTTTCCAAATGAATATAATCTCCAGAAAAAAACTAAAGTGGAGACTCATTTTCTTGAATTTCGTATTTCTGAATCAATATAGGACCGGTGATAATTTTGGTATTTAAATAAAACTCTGTGTACCCAACAAAAAAAGTAACCCAAACAATGATAAATGCGTGATCACCACGCACATTTGAATCTATTGGGTAACATGAACAAGCCTTCTTGAGCCGGAATTATTGTGTCGTGGTATGTCGTGACGCGCCACAAGTATATCGTATCCTTACATTCAGTATGTTTAGAATTATATTACTAAAGTGCAGTGTGTCGGGACGCGATCTGTCGTAACGGCAATCGGTCGATTCCCGATCGGCGTCAGAACGATGGTGTGGTTATGACGCGTCAAAACACTCCACACTAGTATGTTTCTAATCTGACGCGTTAACTAGCTAGAGCTAGAGAATAGTCGTTTGCATTTATTTGTGCACAAGATGTCGGACGAACTTATTGAACTTGTTAGAAAATACGGGTTTGCATTTTTTAATATCATTTTCTACCATAGAATGTAATAGCTCAAATTGATTTTTTGACATCCTGAAATACTGATGAAATCTTTCTTCATCACTAGTAACCAATATTCGCTTCGACTACCTCTCAGATCATTTACTGGAGATGAACCCAATTTTCTCTTTTTTCTTTTCTTTTTAATTAAACTTTACATTAGCAGACACACAAGGTTTTCTTCGATATCACTATCCGAATCGGAAGAAAACATTGTAGATGCTCGCATGCGTTTACTCCAAACGTCAGAGAGCATCACAACACACCACAACATTATAATGTAATTCCGGCATTACGCTGGCCAATCAGATTTGACTGCAATCGGCTGATGGAATTTGTTCAGGTATTTCGCTACAAGGTCGGAATGGTGACTTACGTTTTAACGCCTGTGGTATTACATATACGGTATTTTAAAGTTTATATTTTTGAAAATGTTAAGTATGATACGGCTGAAGAAACTGCTAATTTGGGCTCCTACAATCCACCTAAAAAAAATTCCTATGCCCATCCGCATATTATTAAAAAAACTCTGTACAAGCAGCCTTGCTTGGGAAATCACGTGCACTATGCATGATAATGTTTTGCAGCACTATGTTGCTTGCATGGACAGAGTATAATACATTCTAAAGATTCATCTATCCAGATTATCTCCAATATTTTGGTCAGTTTATAACATACGGATAAAATTTGTGCAGCTTCGGTGAGCAACAAAACTGCTCTACGTCTGTGGGGTATCAAACAATGTTTCAATTTTAAGTTGTTCCCATAGATGTCGCCTTCATAACGGGAGATGTCAATGCTCACTTATGGTTAGATTAGTGGGTTTATTAGAACCTCCACGGCAACCAGTAAGGGTTTATTGTGCCTCACATCATTTTAACTCCACCAAATATGTCCGATTTCCTAATTAAGCTGATTAGTTTGTATGGTGGATGATTTTTCAGGTTCGACGGCAAAAATAAAACTATGCCAAACATTCAGAACCTAATTAGAACAGAGGTGAGGTAGGCATAAAGGAAGTGATCATCTCAACCTGAGACGGATCTTTCGGCGGTCCAAATATTTTCTTATGATAATTCATACTACGGTGACTCATTAGCATGTAAAACAACATAGATTATTTCTGTTATAGTTGGAAAGTTGTTTGATGAAATTCTTCGAATGCCTTCTATTTGACCGGTCCAAGAAAATTTTGTCAAAAAACTATAAACCTTTTTTGTGGTCCAGGTAGATGCTTATTTATACACAGGAATGTTGTTGAAGGACAGATAGGTCGACACAAAGCTAGGCGTTGGATCACCAATGCTTTGTGGTTTGGGCCTTGGTTTCATCAATTTCTATGTGAATATGGTACTTTTAGACAGAACCTTGAATGTCATGATGAAAACTGAACAAAAGAAAAGACATTTCTGATAGTTCATTTTGCAGATGACAAGAGTTCTTATGAAATGATTTTGTTCTTCGCCAGTTTCAATGTTATTACCATTGTCACCACTTTGCCAAACTTATGCTCGATAAAGAAGTTGTAAAATTTTCACCGGTATATTTTCACATAAGGGAGTAATTACATTCGCTATGTGACAGTAAAGTTAATATTTCCGTCGAACAACTACATCAACAATGTTAGTAAGCGGTAAAAAGCGTCAACTTACAATTCAATAAATTCTTCCAGCTCCCGCTGAGCACCTTCATGTATCTATTGATGCAAACTCCCGAGGTGCCCGCCTTATCCAAGTTTCCATCGGAATGGCTCCTCGTCAACAGGGCTCTGCCGCCTCTTTTTCTGTTCAAGGAACTAGTGTGCGTCAATTTCCCCGATCGTTTTCCCGACTCTCCCGACGTCGCACTTTTACATCGAAAACTCGTCAGTTCGATCTCTTCGACGCTCAAAATTTCGTCGTCGGCCGGATCGCGGAAGCTCAAATACGTCGAGGAAAGGAGGCTGTGATTCTGTTTGGCGCGTTGTCGATTGCCGTTTGTCATCTGGGCGGATTTCTTGCTGGGCGGCAACGGAGGCGGCCGGAAACAAGTGGTCGACATTTCGCGTTTGCTTTTCCGCAGCTCACTCGAGTTCACTAATCGAAATAAATAGAATAGGATTTTAGATGGTTTGTTTCTCATTCATAATGAAATTTCATCTCATTAAAATATGGAACAATTGAAAGAGGCTCTCGACTTAATGAGATTTTTTAAAATTTATGGTATGGTATATAATTTATTTTCGTTATTCACTGAACTGTTGAAAATGCATTCTGACACGCTTGAATAGAAACGTGTTTCAGAAATATTTAAAATGTCTTTAATTATTATATTACTAAAATATATACTGTATACCAAAACATTGGATAGTTTAGTCTCCTTCAAAAACATATAATTTCAATAACGTTGAAAAATAATCTGAATCTTCAGAAATTACACTTTAAAAATCTTCGAATTTGTAAGAAATTGGCATGAAAATTAAACCACGAATAATGAAAATAAAGATTGAATTCCCAAAATAATTATTTCCTTTACTGATCGCATATCAACGTTTATTTTACACACTTAGTAGTATTATTCTATTCATTTTATCAGGTATACGTGAAATATCATATACTCAATGGTCGTGGTTGGTTACAAATGGTTTTTGTTGAGACTTTTTTTGTCAAAGCAGTTGTATTTGGTAAGGCTAACCTTTCCAAACTTGCCGAATGACATGCTGAAGAATAATAGTTTAACGCCAATATTCTGAAGTTCAATATGGAAAAATCCCAAAGGTTAATTTTTTTCCAAATATTGTAGAAAGAAAAATTGTTCAACAAGTATAAATCTAGGTGGCTCCCTGAATTGAATTTATTATATTGAGAATCGAATATTGCAAATAATTGAAAACCATTTTTAGTGTCCGGTTTTTGTTTTTAGTTCATCATTTGCTTTTCCGTATTAGTTGAATTATAAGATATATCTATGTATTTTCAGCAAAAGGTTTGAGTATACAATATCCAACTAAAAGGAAATTACAAAGTCTGGGTCAGTGAATAGAATACTGTTTGTCAATTAAGGTAAAAAATGAAAATGTTTATTGGTCAGTGGAGATTAAACATCACATCTTGATTTTTTTGAAATTATGATATTACCTATGTACCTGTGTTTAGGTATTTTCTTTTCTTGACGGTTGTATGGGTAAATATTAAATTGATGAAAAATATTGGTCAAAAATTGTTGTCTCATTTCTATTTTAGATTCAATTATTTTACCTAGACGATGAAATATGAATTCGTTGATAAAAACTTTTGAAATGAATTGGGTGTGAAATGAAAATGACTTTTGTTTAAAATTTTTCGTTAGATATGTTCTAAAAAAGTCATCAACATCTGGATTGAAATATAAATAATAAATCAGAACATACAATCAAAACAATATCGTATGCAACAACTATTCAATTCGATTAGTGAAACACATTTCCTCAATGTGTGTGAGAAGGGTTGAATATACCTATTTGATTTTAACATCACCGTTATAGAAAAAAAATCTTCAATTTTGATTATTTAAATATGCCTCTCATTTTCATACTACACACTATATATGTGAAGAGGAGAAAAAGAAATAAAAAATCTCGCTTTCGTATAGTTATAATTATCCTTTTATACCTTATTTCGGTGTTTTTCGAGGTTTAAAGGAAGTCACAAAAATAAACTTTTAAATTTTCAGTTAATCTTTGTTGAATATATTTTTTCAAGTACAAAACACAAGCAGCACAGGAAGATCCTCAAGGCGCTCCAAGAGCGGTGCCTGTGCGAAAGTAGTGATTCACATTGGATTTGAATCGCTGGAGACTAAATCCTTTTGGAAAAACGTTGTCAGGAAGTTTATTCCAAATAAACTCAGTTCTCCAAATGAAAGAGTTCTTGAACAGTGAAGTTCGAGGTGTACTGAGTTGAACCTCAAAATAATCAGCAGCCACAGTCCTTCGCGTATTTCTGATATGTACCGCTCTTGGTGGAATCGAATGTGCCAAGTCACTTGAACACTTTTCTTGAAAGTATCTATAGAAGAGAGACAAATCTATAACGTTTCTTCGATGTTCCAGACTATCACGGTGTCCAATCAGGTGGATGGTTCTTCTCTGGATGGAATCCAGTATCTTCAGGGTATGCTTAGGTGCGGAGCTCCATAAATGAGAACAATACTCCAAAGGAAGTCTGATCTGAACTTTATAAAGCACCAAAAGTTACTAGGGTGTGTACCTACAGTTTTCTGGTTCGGAACAGTGTTCCAAGCTTTATCGAAAAAACCGATGCCTGGGTTTTTGTGGCATTGAATTGAACCTGGTTATTTTCACCCCACTAATTAATATATGCAACCCCCTGCTGATGGTGAAGATGATCCGTATCAAGCTATAATTAATGGGTTCCATCCACTTGTATGTATTTCTATTTTATTATACCTTTCAAACTTAATTCAACATTTGAAAATAAGAAACACGAAATATTTCGTATCTTTTCACTAAAATTTACATTTTCCTAGATTGTCAAAGCAACGAATATCAAAAACTGATTTAATCTTTTGTGTCTAAAATTCTGACAATTCGAACAATACATTCATCAACTTCCATTAAACTTGAACTCGTTCAACAATGATTTGAAGAATTTATTTTTGAGAAATCCAACTCAAACTGCAAACGAAACAAAGATATTTCTTTATAGATAAGTCTAGAAAAGTAGGCTGCATCGATAAAACTGGCAGAAGAGCCACTCGGAAACAAATCGTAGCCATTTCGCGTTTGTTTTTTCGCAGCTCACTTGTATTTACTGTTCGAGATAAATCACACCATTATGGGATTGATTTATGGAGGATGGCAGACGATGGATGGAGGTTAACGGTTCCTTCTGTTTTATTTGGAAAGTGGTATTGGTGAAGGGTTAGACAAAAAAGTTGAATAACAATAGTCTAATGACTATTGATTCCCGCTTGATATCGTTAAAATTCTTAAGATTGTACGATATGATTCATAGTAAATAATCTAAAATTATTTTAGTGCGTTCAACAGCTTATTCATTAAACTAGAACAAATGTACAGTGTTCCCCAAAAGTATCGAATGAATTCTAAAATATATTTCAGGAAAATACTTGAACGAGTTGAATTTTTGATGTTGCTGGTCGTTCAATAAGTCTCTATCTGTCAACTTATTGATTATGAAATATTTGGATCTAAGTATTTTCGAACTGCACATGTATAATGGGATGATGAGCTATCTTGCCACAGTATCTTTCAACTCTCCTGTTAACAATAACAGGAGAGTTAAAAGCTACAACAGGAGAGTTCCGAATATGACCTAGACCAAAGTCCATAATGTAAGCTTTTGAGAATGCTGTGTATATGATTATATAATTTAATACGAATTTTAAACCGCACTGAAAGGGAAAGTAGGTATGTCTAAAGTAAACGGATCTTTTCGATCCCCACTGCGAGCCACTACGGTTTATTGGGGCTCACATCTTTTGCTTTGCATTTTGATGGACAATACCATTCTTCATCAATATTTTATCATATTCTGTATAATCTACCAGTACCTACCCTTCATAAGCAGCATCGCGTAACTTTAAATTTGCTGTTCTTTTCAAGCGAAGAATTGGGAGAGGGTAAAAAATATGCCAAAAGAGCAATATGAAAATAAAAATCGACATGCCAAGCATTTTTCCGACATACCTATTTTCATCAACAATTTTATTAAATTGATCACTCTTAGAAAGCACTATTGTAAAAGTTCATATTTATCTGAATTATTTTTTTTTCATTTCTCCCAACACAACTTACATTCCAAGAATCAGTAAAATATAATCATTGAAAACTATTTCGTGAGTAATGAACGAAACGTTTTTATTCACAAAAACTTCGACTAAAGTGAAACGGAATGGATTTTTCATCATTTTCAATGAAATGTTTTATTGAATATTTTATTTAATTTGTGAATATTCCTGGAATTGAGGAAATGTTCATTACCAAAATTTCATCTCGAATATTCTACAAACGAAAATGTTTTTGACTTTCCATAAGTCATATTTCTGAGATCCCAAAATGTCTTCACAATTCTTGTGTTACACGATATAGAGAGATCAAAGTTCATGAAAAAGTGTTTTCTTTCAAGTTTTCCATCAGTACATAAAAATAGTTGAAAAATATCAATGGTTCTATCTTTATTGTACACGACCAAATAACTTATTCAACAAATATTTGGTGAATTCTTCTTTTCGTTTTTTAAATGAATAGAAATACGAAAAAAGATGTGTTGTGTTACTGAAATAGTGAATTTGCAAACATTCTCGATAGACAAGATATCCATCACACTACATTTTTTCAAACTGTTCAAGTTTATTCAAAATGGATTGTATGCAATGTATCATGCATCGATAAGAGATGAAAATAATAAACTCATCACATCTCACAAATAATAGATGATTAAAATAAAGAAAAATTTTTTCGGAAAATAATTTCAGTGTCGTTTGTATGAAATTAATAAAATGCAGGTTTATTCACTGGAATATCGAAAAAATATTCGTGATTGATAAAGTGCACTTCCAATATTTTTGGATTCGAACACGACCCAACAAGTAGGGTTCTTTAGAATATTATATTTCGGAAATATGGTATATTCCAATAGGAGAAAATTAATATCGATAAAAGTGTCAAAAGGAAAAAAAGAGAAAATATGGAGGAAATTTGACAGTAATAGTTTTTTTACTTGAAAGTCAGCTGACTTGTCCATTTTTCTAACCCTTGGGAAAAAATCGAGAAAAACAGCAGCCTCTTATGAATTTTACGTTTTCCTCAATTCGGTTTTTGGATGTTTGTCTTCGAGACATTTTTTTGCTGTCCGTAAATTGCTTCGTCCTCTTGTGATCCAGAGGCACTCAAATCCGGTAATATACAGACAGTGACAGATGTATGATGGTAATAATAATAACCTAGCACAATCATTAATGAATGTATCTTTCATTATCCTAGTACAGTTCCAAAATAACCTCACCAAAAACCAACATCAAAGCTACTGTATATTTACAAATAAATCGTCTGCTATTGGTCTGAAAAACAAAC